GAATGGTTAAGCGTGACGTCATTACATGGGGAAGCTTGTGGCCATGGTAGCTGTAGCGTGTTTGGAGCAAGCAGCCCAGGCATCCAAACTGTTATTCTCCGATACAACATGCGTTGGCTTGGTCACCTATTGTACATGCCACCCTATCGCCTTTCCCGTCGAGCGTTTTTTTTGCACTCACCAGAAAAGGTTGGAAAAAGTGCAGCTGTGGACGACCAATGACGTGGAGGAGAATCAATAAAGCAACCACAGGCTTAGTATCCGTTGTACTGGTCAGCCCTCCAGGATGAGGACCACGCGACTCGGACTGCCACTGATTCGGAACGCTGGAGGTGATGGCTTGCAATAGACATCAGTGGCGTCAGTGTTGTTCAACCACATGGTCTATTAGTTAATGTTTAAACGAACACAAAAATAAAAACAAAATATCCCTGTACAGCATGGGTAAAACGCAAAAAATCGTTTTCTTATGTTGTATTTCGTTTCTCCTCTTCTCTCGCCATGGTTCTGATAGCACCTTGTAATCGGTTTATGAAGATATATATATATATATGTACATATATATATATATATATATATATATATATATATATATATATATATATGGTTGGTGGCATCCGGTTTCGGATCTGCCTGTCACTGTGGCCAGCCACAGGACGCCTGCGCCTACTGAAAGACAATGGATGGCTTGCGCTGCACCACCCACAGCTCCAACCACACACCCCATATCCAGTGTAAACCCGAAGGAATAAGACCGGGAGGCACGCGGATGGGAACCACGTTTCATCAACGGAGCCGGCCCACACTCCTTCACAGACAAACACAAGCACACTGTATTTGGGGAATCAAGTGCACACAAGGCGGTGGCTGGACCGTAGTCCGCTCCACACTGATTGCATGGAACCACTCTTCGAGCCTAGCACGACCACAAGGACTGTGAACCCCGTCCCCTCCAGCAACGACCAACTGTCTCCTGGAGCCAGTATGGACGATGTAGTGGGTAATAGACAGGTAGTCACCTTGTCAACATGCACATGAAGCGCAGCCACATCGGGGATATCAAGCAACAGCCAATCACTTGAGAGAAAGATAACAAAGAAAATAAATCGGGTAATGCAAAAGGAAACGGTGACATAAGTCTTAAATTAATGAGCATATGAAATAAGTTCTTTACAAAAGAATCCGAGATATGTTCACGAGATCAGGAGATTTATTTTACGGAAATGCCGCAAACACGAAAATGTTATCAAAATTAACTACAATTGCCTTAAGCGATGTGTGCAAGTTTGTAAAAGAGACTACAGGTAGACATTTATATGAGAAAGAAAAGAGTTAGGACAAAATTGAAAACCCACTACCTATAATAAAGAGACTTGGCATGCATGCACGAGGTTAGTAAATCGAATGCAGCGCACCTACAAACGAGATACTCACTACTGTTACTGGGACCAGTGTGGTGCGTTTCACCAGTTGGGCTTTGATTCTGCTGCAGTTTGGTTCGCCAATCCACAGCTTGTGAAAACGCTTGGAGTTTTGGGCTGTACACTTTGAAGAGCAATTTATTCAGCCGGCATTGTCAGATTTCTCGCCTGTCAGTGAGCGCCCTGCTCCGTGGGCTCTCTCTTTGCATTCGCCCTCGCTCCGAAGTCGAGAGTGTGATCGAACTGCTTATATTATATAAGGTCGTGGGACTAGACGATCTTCATCCAAGCCTCTTCAAATTTGGTGCATCGGCTCTTTTTGATGCTTTAAATGTGTGACAAGTGAAACTGTGGGAGCAAGAAACTGTCCCCACCAACTGGTATCGCTCGGTCTTAGTCCTATTTTTCAAATGAGGTTTACTTTCGGAATGCGGCCACTGTAAAGGAATCAGTCTGATCATCACCTAAAATTTGCTTGCCTGCGTCATTCTTCACGCATTGACTCGCACACGTGAAGCCCAGATTCGTGAGGAGCAAGCCGGGTTTCGCCGAGGTTGGGGCTGCATTGATCACATCTTCTCTTTGCGTCAATTGTTGGAGCACCGTCATATATATTGGCGGTCAACCGTTGTCTTGTTCATCGACATCAAAGGTGCCTTCTATTCAGTTGAGCGACGTGCCCTTTGGTACTGTACTCAAGGAAGGTGTGCCCGAGAAAGATGTAAATATTATCCGAGCGCTTTACGCGCGTAGCTCGGGCTGAGTGAGAGCTTACAGCAAGCTGATGCCGCCCTACAATTTCTCTAACGGTGTAAGACAGAGATGCCGGTTATTGCCATTCCTCTTCAACTTCGCTATTGACGTGGTCATGGAGATCGCGTTCACAGGACACTATTTAGAACGGGGGTGTCCAAACTCCGACCCGCGGCCTCTTCATGAGATAATAATTTCACTCTTGGATTTTTTCATACATGTATACGTTTTGTTATTATTCTAATGTCAGACTGAATATGGCCCGACATAACTTTACGTCACGAAATGTGGCCCTCCTTGCAAAACGTTTGGACACCCCTGACTTAGAAGGTATGAAGCTGCTCCTTAGTGAACTACTTCTTGACTTGCAGTACGCTTACGTCATTGCCCTCATCTGTGACATCTCACAAACGTGCCAAGCTTCACTAGACAGATTTACACTGGCTATCAGCCGCTTCGGGCTCTGCTTTGTATCCTCAAAGTGCAAAGCCTTCCTCCAAGATTTGCAGGGACCGCCTCCTGCATTGATCCTTGGGGGGGTCAGCTAGAAGTCGTTCGGAAATTCAACTACCTAAGCAGATGTATCAGCGCCCTTGCGAGCGAAGACGTGATCACGACCCGTATAGCTTAAGCCCGAGGCGCTTTTGCTAACCTTCGCTACTTATGGCACCGGCGCAACATCACTCTCTCGCTGATGGAAAGAGTGTTCAATGCAGCCGTAGGTTCGACCTTGATCTACGGTTGTGATACTTGGCCCATTAGATCGGCAGACATAAGAGACTAGCTATGTTCGACCATGGGTGCCTTCGCAGTTTGGCTCATATCTGGTGGGAACGCCATGTAAGCAGTGAGCGTGTTCGACGCCTTGTTTATGGCACAGAAAGGAAATAAACCGCTCAGCCCTGTTACTTCACGCACCAGGCTCCGATAGCTCAGCCACGTGTTACGCATGCCGGCTCCCACGACGTGCGTTGTTTTCGCGCCGGGGGTGTGGATGGAAAAACAAGAGATAGTCAAGCGATGACTTGATCAAGAAGAATGAAGGCCCTTAGTTCGCAGTTTGCCTCGGTTGGAAACACTGATTAGGGTCCGAAAAACGATGAACACGTGTGGCTGGATACGTTTTTGTTATGGCTAGGAATCCACCTCAATGGCGTTTGTGTTGTGAGTTTCTTTGTCCGTCCCGCATAGCTTCTCGTTCCAACTATAACCTCATTTCCTACGCATAACAAACATTTTTTGCGACACAATAGCTGGCTGTTAGCTCTGCGGAACGATGTCGACCCGGTATTGGTGGCCCGCTTGGCTTGCCTCCGTCGCTTTTTGCTTTTATGTATTGCGGCACAATAGCTGAGGTATTTCCTACCTCTAGCTAGCGTGTTCAACGATGATGATGGTTTGCTATGCATGTAACTGGTGTACATTGCTAATACTCATTTCATTACACGCCCCGTCGCCAGATTTCGGTTGACGTGACTCACACAGCCCTGTTTGTGGAATAACTTGACTGACGTTTAGCATTTATTGAACAACTCCGTTTAAGAACTCTTTATCCTGCCGTCCTTCTCAGCACAAGCACTTCTTTCTGCGGTAGTCTGCACTCACGGCACCCCAGTTTCCCGCACGATCGCTTCATTTTGCTGGACACACGTCTGGGCTTCTTGGTTTCATCATCCCTATCCACATGTGGTTTTTGTAGTTGTATGGCATCAACGCAGTAACAACTTACTGGTAAATTGAACATCTTGTAATATGATTGGAACCGATCGATTATTCATGATTTAAGAAGGGTTTTAAGACGGCCGGTGGGCATACTTGGGTGGGTAACGTTTCGCTTTTGCGAATGCTAACAGCTACTAAACAGAATGGATGGGCTGGAGTTATCGAATGTGTGGTGTGATGTCTTAACCCTACTAGTCTGAGGAGCATCGGCGGACGGATGTGGGGCCGAAATCGTACATCTCTCCACCTCTGCCCCAACCACTGGAAGGGACTGAATTGTGCTGACATTGTACAGGGAATCGCTTGAGATCTTTCCATCCCTAATAGGTCACTTGAAACGATACTTTGACTAGTAATGTGCCCATCCTCCCATTTACATCTCGCTCGTCCCAGTTTGCCATAAATCCTACCTCAATCACCTGCTACTTCACTTGGCCTGGCAGGGCCTCTGTGTCAAAAGCGAAATATGACCGTTCAGCTATACTAGTGTATTGCTTTTTCTTTTAGTTGACGCGACTCACTAACACTCGGATGCACCTTACGGTTGTTGCGCCTCATTGTTGGATCTTAGAGTGCCTGCCGTGTGCTGCAACAAATCTTGGTTAATGCCACTATCTGCCTTTTCGCCGGTGTACATTTTCAACAGACTAACGTGTGCCGAAAACAGACTTCAAGCGTTTCTTATCGTAGTGGTCCCGGTTAAGATCAAAATCTTTGAAAGTGATCGATGTTTATACCGCACTGTTAAAACGTCCGAGAACTTTATTTCTGCTTGTTCAGTCAATGCGTAAGTCATAATGAAGTTCTAGTGATGGGGTGGGGGACAACTTTACCGTTTGTGTCGCTGTTGTGTTGTACTTGTGTGATGAAAATTGTTCTTCACTGGGTGAATGACCTCTTGGAGTCGTCAAAGCCTGGAACCATGCTACCATTCACGAAATTGTGATTTGCATTTAACGGAGAACAGCCTTTCTTCAGTGTTATACGATCCACAGCAGCAACCGTCACAATTTATTCCTACTTCGAATTTGCACTGCCTAACAGTTTCTAATGTACTTGTTTTTTAATCTTTTCCGATATGGGTAAGACAAAACGACAGCGAATACTTCGGTGAAATTATAATATATAAAATATGTGTATTGCTAAGTACCCTGGATTTCGAGTTGGTTTCACCCGTGTACAGCCTTAATATCTAGTAGGCACAGCGGGTTTCCACCTCATCGTCCAATCGGTCCACACGCGCATAGCCACTGGGATTTGGGGTACCGCATCGGAAACGATAAAGCCTGTTCATCGGGCTAGACCCCATCCTTTTGTTCGCGCTTGGCGTCCGCGTTCACTCCTATCGGTAGTGGACAGGGGATTCTTTGGCACACACACACACACACACACACACACGACTCCGCTGCGGGGATGATGGAGGCGTCGGGTTCATAAGGATTTCTCCTGCTTTTTCTTTGTCTTTCCTTTGATTATCCCCACCTTGCTTGCGAGCCATTTCACTTTGTGCACCACCTCTTCCTGCATGAGCTTGAAACACATGGCGAAGACGGACAATCCGATTGCAACGTAGAGTGATATGATAACCAGTTTCTCTTTCGTGTTCTCAGAGTCTATTTTCGTGCCTGGACGAAAAGAAACAGCAAGAGTTATCCTCCAGCGTTGTATTGATCATTTAAACAATTAACCTCCTGGTACTATGTCTCATAGCTCTCCTCTCATCAACCCTCATAGCTACTCTTTTTCTATTTATCGTTCTTCCGATTCATAGCCAATACTTTTCTAGGTAACTGTACACTATCTCAGACACATAATATACATGTTCTGGCTGTAAATTAGTTTCTACTGATATTTTTGGCATTGAGAAACAATTCCTTTTCGTTATTCGTTTGCACTAGTTATTTATTTTTCTGCGTCTGCTAACTCTTGCAAGTTTATCGCTGTTCTCTCATCGGACTTCACTTCAGAGAACTAGTGCAGTCAGTCAAGATTCCCGACCCAACTTGTCAGAGTGCTCATGGGGATCTGATTTCTTCGGATCCCAGAGACTGCATCCTAGTTTCGGCTCCTAAATGGTTTGGCGTTTTTGGTGTTACGTTCAATGCGCTAACTGATCGATGCCTCTGACTCCACCGTCAACTTCTTCATTTCGCGTTTGTCGAACACAAGCACTTACCATATCACCTTCTATGCATTAAATGAACCACAGCCTGTAAACTACACCGCAGAGGGCACTCATTACTCCTGAAGGGTATGCTGCTGGATTTCTTCTCCAAACGATCTTACTATCTATGAGCGTGAATTCAACATCGACCGTCATATTTTATGCTAGTCGCTCAATGCGTCTTTTGGCATCCGCAACATCATTGTTGCTGTCTTTACGACTGCAGTTCTCAGGTGATCAAACCTGCTGGTCTTATGCAAGTGTCTCTTGGTAGCTTCTGTGTGTATGTGTGTTTTATTGGTCCTCACAACCGACCACTCGTCATTGGGGGACTCCTTTCGTTGCAACTACATCTGCTTGCTTCACGGATTAAAACAAACCTTGAATTACAAACCTATAGCAAAACACAACTCACCTGGCACAATGTCTCCGAATCCGATTGTTGATAGCGTGATGAAACAAAAATAAGACCACTTCAGGTACTTCTTGTCTTCCCAAATGGAAAACACTATGGCTCCGATCACTATGTATGTGGCCATTATTAGCAGCGAAAGACTTATGGGTACAGTGACTTTGGAGATATCTTCTTCAGAGCTGAATCCGTCTCCGAAGGTGAACAACGATAGATCCTCTTCCGTATGTGCACTGTCTTGTTTCGAGTAGTAGCTCAACTGCACTTGCACGTCACTGTTAGGATCTCCCCTGGAAGAAGCAATTGACAAACGAGACTTCCCCTGTGCGAGCGCCTTCTCTACCGACTCGTCTTCCATCCTTTCAGTTGCTGCCCGATTCTGGATTACAACTGAGTTTGCCAAACTTTGTGCATGTTGTCTCTGAAATCGCTGGGAACTGTTGATTGGTGGAAACTGTGTCACGTTTGTCGAATTGAATTGGAGTGTTGAGAACTTTGGACAATAGCGGCTTTCTGCGCTGGTTGATGGATGTGTACTTCTTATGTCACAGAGTGCCTCAGTGCCAGTCCTTCCTATGCGACTCCTTTTGACCTCAGTACTTGTTGCAACGTTTGCAGGTAGAGTTTGTTTGTCAGATGGCACTGGACGCGTCTTTTCCATTGTTATTGGGTAGTTGTCATCGCTTGCACTCTCCATATCTTGAGCAAGTGGATTTTCAAATATCGTGAAGTTGGCGACGTTTGTCTTTCTGACACAGTCATCTTGTTTCATACTAGCTGTCTTCGCATCCTTCACTGTTCCTGCCGCTTGCACCCCGCTTGTGATCGATGGCGCCAATAACGCCCTCGGCTTGTTGTTCTGAATCCATTTCATAATTTTTGTGGAATCACTCGTTTCCATTCCTTGAAATTCTACACCCGCCGACGTCTCTTGGTAAACCGCATTTGCCTTTTCAGTCCTGTGAGACATCTTCCTGCTGTCCAATTGACCAACTCTACTAGCTTGAGTGCTTTGTGGCAGTGTTGATGTAGTAAAAGGTGTAACCTGCGGACTTTCATCAACGAGTTTCGATAGCTCCTTTTCATCATCGATAGATCTTACTTCCAAGTCCAGGTCAATATCTTTCCAGCAAATTAGAGGTATGCTGACCTCTGTTTCCGTGTCGCTATCCAGAGAAAGTATTTCCAACGTCTGCTCCGGTGGTTTCCCGGATGTTCGATTTCGACCGGTCATGGTTTTCCGCCTTATCGCGTCAATATTTCCATAGGAGAGTGCGTTTCTCAAACGGTTCTCTTCCAAACGCATTTGTTCCCGCATCCTTTTCGCCATTCGCCTTTTGTGTCGACGTTGCCTTTCAGCAGATCTAAGGTATCTCGCATCTAGATAAAACTTTCGATGCTGACCGTCAAAAGTGAAATAACGCGCCTGATTCACTTGCATATTGTTTCTGGTTGTTGACTGCGCACTCGGTAGCACAGTACTTGTGGGATCAGTCGGTGGAATTTCCATCTGAGCCGATAGACTAGCACTTAACGTCGATGTCATTCCAACCGGAAGTAAGTTGTACTGGCCAATCTTTCCGAAGTTCTGATTAGTGATTAAAGTTTCCCTACTGAAGCTCGGTTTTTCTTCTGTTCTTCCCGAAAAGTTTCCCATTCCAACTTGGAGCGGGATGTTTTGGCCACTAAGTCCCGCAGAGTCTGGTGTCTGCACCAATAGTGATGCATTGCCCAATCCTAAGGGTTGAAAATTCAATGAGTTTCCGTAGTGGAGATTGTTGTTCGGTTCAGCACTCTTGTTATGGATGACAACGGGCTCCATGGGTAAAAGCAATCCGTAAGTGGTTCTCTGAATCCACTGCGTCACTGGTTCCACGAGTTCGTTTAGAGTGGTTGTTGTGCGCTGATGAACACAAGGAAAGGGAGATAGATAAAGAACTGTACCCGATTTTTCTTTACCTTTCAACTCTGCTAAAATTGCTGATAGGATTTTTACGTATCAGGTGTGATAATGTAGCACGTCTGCTTTATGCTTCACTGCACCTTTTGTATTTATTATTTTGCCAACAAATCGTTAATTTGATGTTAGTTTTGACGATAAATCCATGGCGAATCGTGTTAAAAAATGCATAAGCAGTACGCCGCACCGACGATTCGCTACTACGCAACCACCACCAGTCCCGCGTGGGCTAAGGATATTGCGAAGGTCGCCCGGTCCTCTACGATGGCTCGAATCGGTGATATCCGGGTTGCTAGGCGGACGCCTTGTCCTTTCGGTCACCGACCGGCACTACACTGATAAAACGTGTGGTTTGACACTTCTACTTTTCAACCTAGTTTTGGCTCACATCAGTTCGTCTTCATGGCGTGCAGTCTGTTTCCATATCTGAACCTCAACCTGGATAGTTCGAAACGCGATTACTAGTCATTCTTCACATTTCGTGCGTTGCACAAAAGCGTGGTACGCAGCAGGGTCTTTTACACTTTTTGGGTGCACACTACCTCGGTCGCATCAAATTTCTCCCGAGAAAGGGTTGGGTGTACGCATCCTGCGAATTTAGAAAAGTTGGCATATACAGTGTCACAGTGCACTCAAGGAGTGTGTCGCGTTTGCACTATACGTCCCCTGCGTTTTCAAAGCTTCGTCGTAAAGCATCACTTTCCGTGGAAACTGGAGCGATAAGGCTTCCCTAGTGCACAAGGATGCTGATGATTTGCGATTTTAAAGCTCCTTTAGGTGAGCGCTAATGCAAATCCCGCAATACTGAAGTCGGGTCTTGTGCATCGCCGGATCAATGTACTCAGGTAACTATTTAACGAGACCATACTCATGTCATGAGCATTGGAGGCATTGGAATCCCCTTGGACTGAAACTGCTGGCAGATAGCCTTCAAGCGAATATCATCCACCTCAAAACTCAGTCTAAGTGACGATGAAAGAAAACTTGATGCATGGCATGATAATCCCAACTACCGCACTACTGATAAGGCCCACCAAACTACAGTTTTACTGTGGCAAAAGACATTGCATGAAGTACCTAGTTTATACTTCACTGATTCTCTGACCCATGACTCGTCACCAACACAAAACTTAACTGAAGTCGCTAATGCTCCATACAATCCGGTGCTCACTAGAAAAAGTCGATTCGTCCACGTACGGAAGTCCGGATGGTCGTCCACCGGTCTACTGGTCATGTCAAGCTAAAAGTACCTGCTTCATTAACGTCATCAAGCTCTTTTCCATCTCTGAGAGAGATCAAACATTATGCCTCCTACATGACTTTGCCAACTATAGATTCCTAAACCACGATTGGATGTCCTCAAGCCATAACGGTTCGATTTTTAAAGAGTTGATATTTCATTTCTTGACAACTGTGTCCCAGCTACCTGGGTTTTGTGGTGACGAGATCCTAACGGTCCAGTGATCCTGTGCTCTTCCTGTCTAGTCATCGACTCAAGTTCTGGAAGCCCCGTGGCTACTGATGGAGGGCAGTCGGGCTAAGACCTGCTTTTAGCTATGATCTAGGATGGTTTTATGATGCGCTTCGGAGGTACACTGTATCCAGGACTTTGGGTGAGGATCTAAGTGGTACTCTTATTCATGCATCAGCACCCGGTAGTCTATCAGTACATTCACCAAATATTATTGCTAATTGTAGACCTGATCTCCTGCTAAATCTACCGTCATGCATTCTGAAAAGTGTCATCTTATCGGCTGCACACAACCGGTGGTGGATAAGCGAAAAATACTACCTCTGGCGCTCCTCTTCCTCCCTTCTACTCAACATTACCCTCCCGAAGCCCCATTTCGCTAGGTCTGTCTTAACGTCTCCAGTCCTCCTAATCCCTCATTCATCTACCCACGCTAGCGGTTGCGCACAATGACTACAAACCGTTGCGGAAAGCGCTGAAAATGGGATATCAGAACTTACACAATCATGGATCGGGATTCAAGCCAACGCCAGAGGCAATACACACCGCGCTGGTTTCCATGTGACTCTCTTGACGTGGTACTGATAGTTCGGTACTCAATTGGACGCAGATAGCTAAACAGGATAAGCTGTGCTAGTGGAGCGCCTGTTCTACGTGCTACTAAATTGGGAACGCCACTGCAGCACATCGTGACCATGGTACTGGATTTGCTACATCCTAACATCCGAGGAGCCACCTACCGGAAGTACCGACTGGCACAAATCCAAAGTTGATTTCTTTTCGCCTGCGCCTCGGACGGGGTAAGTCTGCAATGTTACTGTCACATATGTTCCCACTGTGTGTTATTTCCATGCCACGAAAGATCAGTTTTCTTCTCAATTGTCCTCTATGACACAGTCCGTGCTGAAGAGCGATCGACACTTCGTACTGGGTAATTTCAACACACGGCACTACGGCACTAGCTGACGTAATCGGATCTCATTTGATTTACCAATGTATACGATGACCGCTTGCTCGCACTGTACGCCACCCATGATCTGACGGTCACAAACACGGTTCTGACTAGATCCCAGTGATATTTCCACTTAGACACACCCACGGAGTGGTCACACGCACCTGCTCGACTATGTCATCGTACGCAGGCGGGACACTAGTGAACTGCGAATTACGCATGTACTGCGTGGAGCTGATTGCAGGACTGATCACAAGTTGATGCAGAACAAACCGTGCATATGTTTTCGTAAATCAATTTACTGTTCTGCTGTGAATCAGCGGATGCTTAGTGTTCCTCCTATGGAGCACGCTTCTGGAGGACTGGCAACAATTCGGAAATGCAGTAGCTATCCACCTTGATGAAATCGACTTCATTGCTTCAGTCAGGGCTCTGTGATACCACCCGAAGGAATTGGTAACCATTACTGCTGGGGAGACGGTTGTACACACAAACTGTAAGCGGGCCGACTGGTTTGATGACATCAATGTGATAACTAGCTGATTGATGTCAGAAAAATGCGGCATGTACTACGCGGGCGGAAGATTTTGACTGTGCGTAGAAAAGAAGTATGCTTCGCAAAATGCAGCTAACTCAGGAACTCCGTCGCATCATGTATGCATGGTGGGCGGAGAAGGCGAAGCGGATGAAATGTTACGTCGAACGCCACCAACATAAGGACTAATATGACTCTTTGAATTCAGTGCATGGACCCACCTTGCAGCCGATTAGGTCACTAGTTGACTCTGCTTCAGACCTTGTCTGCATACACTCAGCAGATGACATACAGTTGTGGGGCAGTCACTTCGACTGTCTGTTAAACAACCGTACAGAAATTGACTGGGATACGTTGCGCGCCTGTCAACAGTGATGTGAAGGGCGATATTGTGAACACCCCGGGACCGCGTAAAACGCGGTGAGAACTTGCTCAGCTGCAAAACGGTAAGTGCACAAGTACCGGTGGAATATCTCCCGCAGTATTGATGAATAGCGGACCATAAGTGCTGCGTTCGCTGTAGCATTTGGACCGATAAACAAGTAAATTCCAAGCTGAATCATGTCTTTGTGATATCAACTTACCATACTGCATCCGAAAGGTGATTACCCGGACCCCTTCATTGCCTCATCATTCACCTCCTGGAACCAAACGTGGCCGAAGAGCAGTCCGGCTTTCATTCTGACCGCAGTACAATCCACATGATGTTAGTGGCTGTTCAATTACAGACGAAACCAACCAATTTACTCGCTGGTCATCGACTTCACCATGGCACTTGATACGGTGAACCGTGCAGCGTTATGGTTACCGCTAGGTATGTTCGGATTCCATGGTAAGTATATTCGTCTAACCAAATTTCTGCATAATGGTGTCCGGATGATGATGTCTCTGACGTGAAGCAAGGCCGCGTCCTAGATCTTACTATCATATTGTCATTTGCATCCACTTCATGTGCATACGGTGTCCATCTCGAGCGCAGCATCGGTGGCGGGTTGCTGAACATCCAGCGTTTCAGAGCGAAGAGCATGGTACATGAGTCAATGAATCCGGATACTGTTATCTGCAGACGACTGCGCGTTGTATGCTCGCAACGATGATAAGATGAAACATACGATGGTAACATTGGCTTCGAAGATGTCCTAATCCAGACTTATCATCAACACAGATCAGACTGCATACCTTTTTCAAGTACCACAACCAGAATCCGAACCTTAGAGGTGCGAGTTTCCAGTCCCATGCTGCTGCATGTGTTTAGCCGCTCCTGCAACCGCTCACGGTTACACTATCGCAAGCATCACCTTATAAATCTAGTGAGGTGCAAATACAGTATTTTTCAATAGAAACGGTGTTAACCTTTTGCTTGCAACTCCTGAGTGGCGACGAATTATCGGTCCAGTTTCTGCTATTTCGAAAGAATGCTGTTAGTTGACTTGCCGATATGCTGTGAGCTTTACGGTTATGTATCCAAGGCGAGTTTTACTTTCAGTAATCGGAATACCTGGTGTAGAAACACAAGCACCTGACCACTGGGACTAAGTTGATTGTTTGAATGTCCTAATGCCCCCGGTTCTTCTCTACTGCAGCGAAACTCAGATTCCCTACCAGAAGCAATTTTGCAACTTGGACGATTGCATCACAACTGCTTGCGATAAGTTTTGCACATCCTATTATGGGACAGTGTGTCCAACTACATTTGACTTTTATTAACACCAAGTCTGAGTGCACCCAATGAGGGTATTGGCAAGTTTACCAAATCTTCCGACACCACCCTCTCCCCGAATGCTTACCCCACGAACATGCTGCTCATTGTTGATGGAGCAGGGTCCGTCTTTTCCGTGTGCTATTTCATCTTGGAATGAGCCACGGTCCAATCAACCACGCTGTGCACGTTTGCTGCACATGTTTCCCCCACAGCCACCCGAATCCATGGTGGCCGCTATCCACATGCTTTCCGCTCTTATTTGTTGGTGTTTACACTGGATATG